ACTGAGCCACGTTGTCTGTAAACTGCAAAAACCTTGTAAACTGGAGAATTTGTAGTGAGTTTCACTGTTCTCATTTCTCCACCCCGCTCATTTTAGGTGTTCAGGCGCTTCGTGGAGGTTGGCCGGGTGGCTTACGTCGCCTTTGGGCCCCACGCCGGGAAACTGGTCGCAATTGTAGATGTTATCGATCAGAACAGGGTAAGTGTGGGGGAAATGTCACGATTCCACGCGTTAGTGGATGGTATGCAGTATAGGATGGTAATGATCCCAGCAGCCCGCTGAGGTAGGAGTACTGTGGTTGATGGCTCTATTTTACTTTCGAGAAAAATAGGCAGTGCACACGGGTAGGGCTTTCAGGCACAGACTTGCTTTGGCCAGTACTATTGGGTTTGAGTATTACCTCTGCCGCTTAAACTAGCCAGCACTTCTAATAAGTGAAACATCGGTGGGGTTTAAATGAGTTCCTGTATATACAGGGAGTTGAAAACAAAGCTGAACACAGGGGAAGTCCTTGTTTGCTCTGGTCAGTCACTTACTTTGAAAACCACAAACTAAGGGATTGACCGAGGGCTGTGAATGAACATTAAGTTGTTTGTTAGGAATGGAAGGATTGAAGACTGAAAATTGTCAAGTAAGTTATATGTAGTTGGGTTATATGCGGTACTACTTCTAATAGTTTAATTTTCTAAAAAGCCGTTTAAATAGTAGGGATTAGATTCTGAAAGGACATAATAAACAGACTATCCATTTTGAGTGTTGTTAGGTTTTGCTCTGAGATTTTTATATATATATAATATATATATATATATTTTTAATGTATTCTAGGCTCTGGTTGATGGACCTTGCACTCAAGTAAGGAGACAGGCTATGCCTTTCAAATGCATGCAGCTCACTGACTTCATCCTCAAGTTCCCACACAGGTAGCTATCCACCAACCATATCCTCCTAGATTTAAAAAAAAAAATTATTTGTTTATTAGAGAAAGGGGAAGGGAGGGAGAAAGGGAGGGAGAAAGAGAGGGAGAGAAACACTGATGCAGGAAGAGAAACATGGATAGGCGTTGCCCTAACCAGGAATCGAACCAGCGATGTTTTGCTTTGCAGGAGGGTGCCCAGCCAACCGAGCTGCACTGGTCAGGGCTCAGCTTTGTTTATAGTAGAAAAAGTTTTCTTAGTTTAATTGAAATAACAGGGTTTTTTTTTTACTGTTTTTCCCTTGAGAATGTAGTAAACGTTGAAGTTGGGAGCAATTCAGAAAGGGATTTACAATGTAGTGAACAGGTGTTATTTCCTTTTTAAATATTCTGTGATCTGGTAGTTCCCTGGCTTTGTCTTTATCCGAGGTTTGCCGTTCCTCCCCCCTTTTTTTTTCCGTCAGTATATACACAGCAAAGACTTTCCTAAGGAATTCTGGTTTCCTGTTCGTATTATTCACTTTTAGTTTCAAAACAAAAATACTCTTGTCTCCTAATACTCGAGCCGTCCTTAGTTGAGTGTTTCGTAGCTGCTGTAACTATTTAACATACATCATCTCATAGCAGCTGCTGAAGTGGTTCTATTCCCAGCTACTTACGAGGAGTTGAGACGATCGGTCATTGTTCCTTGACATGATACAGGCTGGAGGTTAAAGCACTGTCACCATACAGTTATCTCACTGCAATGACAGTAGGATGCAGTGGGACATGTGCTGTGACTAGTTTATTTTTTAAGCATACTGGGTTTTAATGCTCAAAATATTTGGGAGGAATTTCAAAATGATTATAATTGGATTCTATGAGGTTTGGCCAAAAAGTTTTAAGCATTTTTGTACAAAATAAAAGTATTAAGCCTAAGGATTAAGTTTACTGTATTCTTTATGAAAGGAAATTGTTTTCTACATGTCTGCTACTTTGGAGTGATACTCTAGACACGCTAAGAGGTCATTTTTAAATCGTAAACATGGATTGCGTTTTTTATTGTGTGTTTGAGATTATAAGGTGTCCTGGCTTAGTGAACACCATCCAAATAAGTAAAAGACATGTGGTATGTGTTCTTTTGAGACACTAGAGCTGGAGGTATTAGAAATGAGAAGGGTACTTTTGGCATCCTTTTGCTTAGTTTTCTATGTTAATGGGGATATACATTCTGCTTTTCAGAGGGCACAAAGCTGTCCTTGAGTCTGTGTGGCTTCAAAGCTGACTTCTTAATCTCTGGTCTTGCCTCTTTCTAGTGCCCGCCAGAAGTATGTTCGACAAGCCTGGCAGAAGGCAGATATCAATACAAAATGGGCAGCAACGAGATGGGCTAAGAAGATTGAAGCCAGAGAAAAGGTAATAACTTGTGGTATTTGGGATTCTGATCTCTTCTTTTTTTGAGGGGTTGCAAGGTGATGAGGGTTTTGTTTTTTTTTTAAACAGAAAGCCAAGATGACAGATTTTGATCGTTACAAAGTCATGAAGGCAAAGAAAATGGTAAGTTTTTAAATTATTAAAAGATTGTTACAGTTTTAAATCTAAGCTTGTTTGGTAATTCTCTTTGCCCAAGCTTAGTAGACCAAAGTTGAGTTCGTAGGGGTCTAAGATATAAGGGTCGTCTTTTATGCATGATATACAACATATATCTATCTATATATATATGACAAAAAAGTTTCTGTACACATATATAATAAATACTGACTTTGAAATTTTTCAGAGGAACCGAATAATCAAGCTTGAAGTTAGGAAGCTTCAAAAGGCAGCTCTTCTGAAAGCTTCTCCCAAAAAAGCACTTGCTGCTAAAGGTGCAGCTGCAGCAGCAGCAGCCACAGCAAAGGTTCCAGCCAAAAAGGTGACCGCTGCAGGCAAGAAGGCCCCAGCCCAGAAGGTTCCCGCCCAGAAAGCCGCAGGCCAGAAGGCAGCGCCTCCAAAAGCTCAGAAGGGTCCGAAAGCTCCAGCCCAGAAAGCACCTGCTCCAAAGGCATCTGGCAAGAAAGCCTAAGAACATTAAGAGGCTATTTTAAAAGTAATAAAGGTTCTTTTTGACACGCTGGCAAATCTGCTTAGTTGTGGATTGAAGTCTGTTGGCTGGGACAGGGATTATGAAACAGAATGATAGTACGGTTGTTGATGTAGTCATGAGGGACTCAGTTCCTTTGTCTCTCTGCCCAGGACCAGGTGGCGTGAAGCCATCACACCAGGTGGTGGCCACTTAGATGTTTTCATTGGAAATCACGATGGTGAGCGCACCAGGTGATTTTTTTCTTGTACAAATATATTTCCTGTAAGTACATAAAGTTCTAGCAGCTAGTGATGCCTAAGGGTTTATATTTCTTATAAAAATACACTGGGAAAAGATAGAAGCAATATAAATTCTGGTTGCCTATCATTTCTAACTAAAGCTGGTTTCCTGAACCTGACTGTAGCAGACAAAATCATTTTTGGTTGGTTTTAATAAGCAAGTGGTAATAGCATAGCAACTTCTGTGATAGAGGAAGTACAGGCAATTTTGGGTTACCTGTCCTTGTGTGAGGGGTGAGTAACTGTCTGGAAAAATTGGGATCTTAAGCTACAACCTACAAGTTTGTGTGAGGGGAAGGATGGCCTGAGCCTCAGGAAGGGTGGCTGCAGCAGCAAGATAAGCAGATTAGATCGGACCATGGGGGACTGGAGGAGGCCATTGAGCATTTTTAAATGGAGTGACACCTCAGATGTAGGTCATTGTGCTGTTGGGTTGAATCTTGGGGAATGAGACTGGCAACAGGAAGGTTGGGGCTATCAAGCTTGGTGACATCCCTCACTGTCCCTCGCCTTGACAGTGTTCTAAACCACCTAAGTGGTGGTGGGCCATTTAGTAGGCTACATCAGTGATCTTACTGGTTTTGGGGTTTCACTGGTGCTACCTCTCCTACCTCTAATTGGATTTGTGTGTTGATTTTCACTTACTGCACCCTCTAGTGTTGTTAGCCCTCGTGAGTAACTAACTTTGCTTGCCTGAAAGTATTATTTCGGCCTTAAATGAACTATGTTTTACAGCGTTTCTGATAGTAAATGTATGGCGCCCTCCCCCACACCAGCCAGTACAATTCAGTTCTGACATTTGACTACCAGGAGTGAGCATCCAACCCCCACCTCAGATGCCGAAAGTTCCAGGCCTTTTGTATTTGACTGACGAGCTATAAATTGGACCAACTGCCTGTGGTTTGATTATTAGAACAGTTCATCATAGAACTCAGGAAAACGCTTTACTGCTACCAGTGCACTACAAAGCATAGCTCAGGAGCAGCCAGACGGAAGAAGATGCATTCAGGCTCAGGTGACAGGCAGGGGGCCTACAGAGCCTCTCCCCTTGCCGCCCTCGGTTCAGCCTCCATGTGTTTGCCAGCCTGGAAGGTCTTAGAAGATCTCCCTCTTTAGGGTCTTTTTGGAGGCTCATCTAAACATAATGGATTAAAGTCACTGGCCATGTGTGCTTAGCTCGATCTCTAGCCTCTCAGTGGGGTTGGGGTGAAAATTCAAGCCACATGGTTCCAACTCCACGGTTGGTTCCTCTGTTGACCCTGAAGCTATCTGGCAGGCACCAGTCATTAGCACACAAAAAGGTTATGAGGGTTTTAGAAGCCTCTGGTATCAGGAGCTGGACAAAGACCAAGTATTTGTCACAGTGTCACACCTTGTATCAGTGATTGATTAGCTTTTGAGTTCTGGTTTCAAAATGATTTTCCTTTAGAACTTGGAAGGACATCTAGTGCCCTGCTCTTACTCTGGAGCAGATACTGCTGGAAAGTGCAGTCAACCAAGCCATTCATCTGGATGAGTAAACTGGATGAGATTAGTCTGGAACATGAGCTGGGGTTCGCCCAGCAGAAATAAACAGGCAAGTTGACACAGGACTAGCTCCGCTACCTGCACAGTGCCTGGTCAGGAGGAAGCACCATTGCCATGGTTCTTCCCATGTCAACGAGAGAAAAGTAATGCAGTGTGTCATTAAAAAGGTGCTGTACACAGGAATACAATCACGAGGTACGGAGTAATGTTTTGGTCAACCATGGAGTGCGTATACGACTGGTCCCATATGACTGATGGGGCTGAAAAAGCCGTATCCCCTAGTGACAGCCCAGCTGTCCCACCGTTGTGGCTCAACTCGTGTTCCTGGTGGTGCTGGGGTAAACAAATCTGCTCAGCCAGTTGTGTGAAAGTGTAGCACATAAATTATGTACAGTACATAGTACTTGATAGTAAACTATGTACTATTTGTGTTTTTTACTATGTCTGTTTTACAACATTCTACTTATTAAAAAAGTTCGCCGTGAAACTCATGTGGGCAGCAGCCTTATGTATCTTGTGTGTCGCATCTCTTGATTGCATCATTCTTTCATGCTTGATTTTGTAAATTGAGCGCAGCCCAAGTGCAAAGTGTTCATAAAGTGTACAGTAGTGTTACAGTAATGTCCTAGGCCTTCGCACTCATTCACCACTCACACATCGTAAGCTCCAGTCATGGTGAGTGACCTGTGCAGGTGTACATTCTTCATCTTTTATACTGTATTTTTACCATATCTTTTCTGTTTAGATACATTTGTATACAGAAATACTAACTGGGTTACAATTGCCTACAGTATTGAGTACGGGAACATGTACAAGTTTGTAGCCTTGGAGCAGACTACCATGTGTAGCTTCAGTGCATAGTAGGCTATACCATCTAGGACAGTGTAGTAAGATGTTTGCACAACCACGAAATTACCTAACAATGCATTTCTCAGGAAGTATCCCAGTTAAGTGGCGAATGACTACACTCTGATGTCAGCAACGACAGAACTAGCAATTATTTTGACTTCCAGTACAGAACCAGAAGCTGTTACAACTGCTGTACACGAATAGACTGACTCACTTAATACTTTCCATTTATACATTTGAAACCATAAGCATTCTCAACTGAGAAATTGAAGCACAGAGTTAAGTAATTTGCGCAAGGCCATACCGTGATAAATGGTGGAGTTAGGGTTTGAACCTGGACAGTCAGACCCCAGGCTTAATAATCTCTGATCTTAGGTCACAGTCCAGTCAATCAGCCAATAAGCAGGAGACTGGGGCTATAAATTCATTAAAAGGTTAAGTTACTGCTAGTGATCCGCAGAGCCAGAATTCGGAGCATCACGGGAAGTAAAATGAGGAATACCTGTCCTTTGAACAGATAGGTCATCAGCTCGGGGTGATGCGGCGATAATCCATAGAGGAAATGACTGAGAAGGGCCAGTGCTGGAGTCGTCCTGGTTGGGCAGGAGGGTGCGGGCGGGGGGCGGGGTGGTGGGGGCGGGAGCGGGTAGGTCTGGCTTGAGGGAACCATTGAGAAGGGCCAGCCTCCAAGCTTCCTAGAGAGGCGCTGAGAGCGCCTGCTGGTCGTGCTTCCGTCTTGGCTAAGTTCCGCTGGGCTGCCCCGGCTCAGGGTGAGCGGCCCCGGATTCCACGAGCCCTGTTACCCGAGGGTAGCCCGGCTTCCCCGTCTCCAGGAGGCGCGGCCCCCGGAGCCCGGCCCTTGCCCTCTTCCGGCAGAGGCGCCATCGCCCTTCCTGCCTCGAAGAGCTGGTCCAGCATCTTCTGGCTCGCGGTACTCAGGGTGGGGGCCGGTGACTTTGCGGGTCGCCTGCTTCACGGGGTGTTGTGTTGAGATCACGGTCGCCCCTCGTCCACTGGACGTTGAGCATCTTACCCTTTCCTCCCTCCCCCCACCCCCCATCCATTCCGGGGCCAGAACATCGCTTGCATTTTGTCCTGCAGCCGGCGATTGGTCCAGAGTCTGGCTTCTCTCTCGAAGCTCCGCCAGGTCTTCGCTGTGATCACTAGAAGCATTCAGTGCAAGCTATTTAACAATGCGTTCATAGTGGGCCAGGAATTTTCTTAAAACTAAGAATCCACTGCAGTTCTTGACTCTTGCTTCACAGATATTCTTTTTAGGAATTTCCAGCCTCACCATGCAAATTTGTAGAGTGTACAAAGGAAGCACCTGCAGCACCCTATGTATGACTAGAAAGGATGCATTGAGAACATCCAGGCCGTCCTAAGAATATGTTCCCAATGGTTGAGGGAGGAAAAGGCCACAAGTGTGGGAAACAAGACGGTCAGTCTCACTGTGGTTCTCTCTCCCCTAGCTCTGCAGGCTCTTGCTTTTCCACACAGAGAGGGCAGTGCGGGAAGCCAGGGTCATCAGCCATGCTCCAGAGAGCGGGGTCCCAGGTGAGCTGACCTTCCTTCCAGCTTTCCACATCCCGACCGTATATGAAAGGTCACGAGGACCAGCAGCCTAACTTGGCCAGGCCCGTGCTTAGCTTGGCTTGGGATGGATCAGTAGAGTATGGCAAAGGCTCATGTTAGGGCAGTCGATGCGGGAGAATAGGTAAACTTGGGAGGATCAGATTGGTTGGGAAACAGGGAAGCACTGGTCAAGAAATTCTTCTAGAAAGTGAGACTATATTCTTGCCTACTGCAAGGATGGTGCACAGATGAGCAGCTTTGGCCTTACCGGTGGGCTTGTTAGAAAAGAACAAAGAGTGAGTTGGTAGTAAGAGAGGTGTCTCAGAGGTGTGGAGAGGCAGAAGCTGAAATGTGAGGAAGGAAGGTCAGGTCCATGTTGCCAGCTGTTGACACGAAAGGAAGTAAAGACAGAATATTAACATTTGGCATCAGGAAGGGTCAGTTGTCCACTGTTCACTAAGATAGGCACTAGCTGTGAGTTCCTCTTTACATTGAAATGAATTCCAATTAGAAATTCAGGTCCTCAGTCACACCAGACACATTGAAACTTCCGGGTCAAGGTGTTATATGACGTTCTAGATTTAGCATCCATTGATGATTCTTGTCTGAACCAGTCTTTGCAATGATGGCTGCAGATCCCCTAGCATTTCCGTAGTGATTTCTTCCACCTGTAAGAGACCAAGCACAGAACGAAGGTGACTGATATGACAGATGGGACAGTGGACAGTGTGAGTCAGGAAGACAAGTCACAGGGCGACCAAGTGAAGTAAGCGGTCAATTCATTTGAAATTTTTGCTTTCTTACCCAACCTTGTAATAAATAGTCAGATAAAGAGTACCCCCTTTTGTCTATTTGAAAGGGCTTATTATTACTGATTCCCATATAAACATGGGAATAATAATCCTTACTTCACAGATGTGCTCTAATGACTGAGTGAATACTTGGTATAAAAATAAATGACACAGGACAAGGCACAGAGGCCTGAAGCACCTTGCAAAGGTGGAAACGGCCCCAGCAGGCAGTGGAAAGAGACACCCCTGGTAAAGAGGGTGGCGTTGGCAGGCGGACAGCACTTAGGTGGTCAGGCTGCAGGTCCATGTTCAAGGTCAGAGACGGCCATGCTGTCCTGGAGTCAGGTCTGTTAGGAAAAGAGGAGGTGACTGCACATTCCTTTCAAGGGACAACCAGCTTTCTGATAAGGCCAGATGTCCAAAAGAGGGAGGAAGGTCCAGAGTGAAGAAATTCTATGCCCAGGGAATCGCCACTCCGTCTATGGTGAAAGGTGGGAGGAGGGAACTAGAGAGAAGCAGAGTGGGGGGCCCTGGGGGCTCCAGGAGGGGTGGAGGCAGCGTGAAAGGCAGGCACCTGCCTGCTGCGCTCACTTTGGAGAGCGTCAGCAAAGTAGACCTGGTCCGCAGAACCAGACATGGGGTTGATGTGGTCACCAGGTAGACGAGAGCAGGTGCGGGACTGTGTGCCTGGGACGACAGTGCGGCGCCCATGAAGTGTGCCCACTGATGGGAGAGCCCTGGCGGAGTGCTGCCTCTGCCTGCGCTGCTGCGTGACTCTCTGTTGGCACAAACCTCCCATGGGGCTCAGAGCCATGGACCCCAGTAGATTTGTCCTTTCTCTGGAGCGCAGGCCCCTCCTCCGTCCTTACAAAGGGCTTGAGCAGGAACCTGTCGTTTCAGGGGTCAGTGACCTTTGAGGACGTGGCCGTGTACTTCACCGAGGAGGAATGGGCCAGCCTGGCCCCTGCGCACAGGGCCCTGTACCGGGAGGTGATGCTGGAGACATACGCCAATGTGGCTGCCCTGGGTAAGCCCTCCTTCCTCTCTGAGACTCAGCACCTGCCTCCAGGGCTCATGGCTTCCTCCTCAGCCATTCTGAAACCTTTCAATACCAGCAGGGTTGATGCTCCTTGCGCTGAGCTCCCTGATCCCCAGTTGCAGGAGTAGCTGATAGAGAAAGGTCTAGGTTCACTTTGGTTTAAACAAAACTCCCCTCCTCCCAGTGTCCTGGTGGGGACTGTCCTGAAAAGGGGCTTTGCTCTGGGCACAGAGAGCTGAGAAGATTCCAGGTGGAACCGCCTTCATCTGCCACTCTTCTGGCTCCCGGAAGAGACCGTGGCCCTCTCTCCTCTGTGTAAGAGTCTCCGCGGCCCCCGTGTGTATGCCGCCGACAACAGTGGGAGCTTTCTGTCCTTCCAGGTGGAGCGGAAATAAGCTTCCCCCGGAGCAGAACAACCTGAACTTCCCTTCGATCCCTGACTCTCGCCACACTGCCCTCACTTAGTCTCCTGGGACATCCACTCCTTTGTCCACCTGGCAACGCAGAGGGCGGGCTTAGAGGGGTCAGCAGGGCCTCTCCTCAGCTTCCTTTTCCTTTACTTTTTCCTTTGGCAGCATTCCCATTTCCCAAACCAGACCTGATATTCCAGCTGGAGCGAGGGGAAGCACCTCAGGGCCCAGACCCCTGGGCAGCCACTGGGGGAAAGGCCCAGAGAGGCATCCGCGCAGGTAAGCAGAACCCACCGCCTTCCTTGCCAGCCTTGCCTTCTCCTGTCTTTTTATAACTTAACATGAAACAGGTTTTTCTTCCATCGTATGGCTGTTGTGGGGGTGAAAATGGCTGTTCTTATTCAGGAAAGTGTCCCTCACTAGAGCTTCAGTCCTGAACTAGAGAAGAGCAGTCCAAAGACTTCATTTTCTGTCCTTTTTCTTTGAAAAGCTGAAGGATGTCAAACATTTAGGTGAAACTAGGCTTCTGTGGGTCAGTGTAGGAACAGGAATACTGTACAGTAAGAACTTGTTTCTGTGAGAACATTTCATATATCTGTGTGTGTTTATATGTGAAACTGTATATAAGAATGGAATTTTTACCAATTCCTAAACACTAAGATATAAATTAGCTTTGGAAAGAACGGCTGCTTAATTATTGGGAATGAAGGGTTTCTTTGTTTTGAAAGATATTCAATGCAGGTACATGTAAAGAACCGTCCAGAGACTTGGCATATAGCCTTTCTCATTCCTGTGGCTCTGTTCTCATACTCCCTCAATGCCCGATGCCCTTCAGAGCCTCAGTAAACCTTCCTCATCACCACACACACACACACACTCTCTCTCTCTCTCTCTCATACACTCCGTCTTCTCCGTGCCTCTGTGTTGACCCCCGCACATGAGGTCACCTGGGTAAAAAGCCTTTCCCAGCCTCCTGCCTGCAGTTCGCAGTGTTCCCTCTGCCACAGCTGCGCATGGTCTGTTTAGCCCGCCAAAGGCTTTAGCCGGTGTCATCCACTAGAACTGCCCACAGTGACAAAAGCGGTATGCCACTGGGCTGCCCAGCATGGTAGCCCTTAGCCACATGAGCACTCGAAATGCAGCTGGTGCAACTCAGGAACGGAGTTTTTAATTTTGTTCCATTTTAATTGATTGAAATTTAAATCGCCGCAGCCACCTTATTGGACAGTGCAGCCTGGCGCAATGAAAAGAACAGCTCTACTGCCCTTTTTAGTTTCTAGATCCGAGCGTTTCAAACCCTAGCGTGCATCAGAGTCGCTTGTGAGGCTTGTGAAAACAGGTGGCGGGCACCGCCTCCAGGGATTCTAATTCACAGGACGGGTGTGGGGCCCGAGGATTTGCATTTCTGACGAGTTCCCAGGTGAGGACCGCCCCTCTTCCTGAGAATCTCAAACCCTGTTTTTCAAACTCTGGGCTGCAACTCGTCAATGAGTTGCGCTTGGCATTTAAAAATTAGACTGTACTTGACTTAAATAAAAGAGACCAAAAATAGTCCATTTTGTGTGCATCACTTTCATTACAGGTATTGTTTTGTGAAACTCTTGTTTCCATTTCAGTTTTGTGTATGTGTGAGGGTAAGCATGTGTGGGTGGGTCAGGATCTAAAACCTGGTCACAAAGCTTGAGAAACACTAAGTTGGAAGTCTCATTTGTCAGACCTCTGACGCTTGAAAAGGTTTCACTGTCATAGTGCCACCAGTGAGAACACAAGGTTCCCCTGTGCCCCACCAGTGGCCATTCCAACCCTGGAAGGCTCTTCACCAGGCATGTCTTTTCTCTTTTCAGAGATAAGTCTCTCTCCCAGAATACAGTTCATGGGTTTGAAATAGGGATCCTTCTGTGACCCCTCACAACCAGCAGAGGTACAGACTGTGCGCTCCCCAGCCGGGCTTGAGAGAGGGGACATCTCTGTAAAGATCACAGGCTATTGTAAAGCATGGGGACAGTTTCACGCCTTGATTGGGCGTTGGGACCCACTGCTGCAGACAGCATCTCTCGGCACTCTGGACATTGTGAGGTGCTAGAGCTGCTCACCCAGCAGCCTCTCCTCCGGTGCAGAGATCTCTTTCCTCTCCTCCTGCTTCCTCTACTTTCTGTTGGCGCTTCCTGTTCCTGCGATTGCTCCACCCCGTTCCCATTTTTCTTTATCCATTGGTCTCAATGAACAGCTGCTGCTGCCTGCACTGGTTTTGTTTCCTAACAGCACTGCCTGCCTTCTCCACCTCTAGTGCTTTTACTTTCCCTGCAGGGCACCTCCAGGTGGCTCTGTCTCCAAACCGTGTCAGGGCAAGCTAATAACGCGTAATCCCTTTCCCCTTCCAGTGCAAATAAGTGCCTCTAATATTTTCTTTTTTATCACACCAGGTGGTAAAACTGAGATTGACTATGAGGAGCAAACTCCAAAGCTGAACATCCCCAAAGAACCAGGGTCCCCCAGGCTGAGAGCAGAAATGCAGCTGGTGGATGCTTCCCAGCACCCTCACTTGAAGGACAGTTTAGAGAAGCCACTGCTGTGTGGCACGGGGAAGAAAACGAACTCAAAGAAAAGAGATTGCACAGACTTGACGGTCCAGGATCATAAATCCTTCACCGTCGAAAGCGAAGGGATAGCCAGGAAATCGGAAGGGAGCAATGGTGTCTGCACGCTTCTCACCGCACAGCAGGGCCTCCTGGGAGAACAGGTGTGTTATAACCGTGCTGCATGTGGCAGATATTTCTGTCAACATTCAGACCTTCACCGGCATCAGGGGACTCACAGCAATGAGAAGCCCTACAAATGCAAAGAATGCGGGAAAGCCTTCAGATATAACTCAAAACTGTCACGGCACCAGAAAATCCACACTGGGGAGAAACCGTACTCATGTCAGGAATGTGGCCAAGCCTTCAGCCAGAATTCCCACCTCCTTCAGCATCAGAAACTCCATGGTGGAGAGAAGCCCTATGAATGTAAGGACTGTGGGAAAACCTTCAGCTACAACTCAAAACTTATTCGGCACCAGCAAATCCACACTGGGGAGAAGCCCTTTAAGTGTAAGGACTGTGGGAAGGCTTTCAGGTGTAGCTACGACTGCATCATCCATGAGCGAGTTCACACTGGGGAGAAGCCCTACGAATGTCAGGAGTGTGGGAGAAGCTTCAGTTCAAATTCCGTCCTGATTCAGCATCAGAGAATCCACACTGGGGAGAAGCCCTATGAATGTAAGGAGTGTGGCAAGGCCTTCCGCCGGAGCGCAGTGTTTCTCCAGCACCAGAGGCTCCATACTGGGGAGAAGCTCTATAAATGCAGTGAATGTTGGAAAACTTTCAGTTGTAGCTCCCGCTTTACCGTACATCGGAGAATCCACTCTGGGGAGAAACCTTATGAATGCCAGGAGTGTGGGAAGGCCTTCAATCAGAAAATCACCCTGGTTCAGCATCAGCGAGTTCACACGGGGGAGAAACCTTATGAGTGTAAGGTGTGTGGGAAAACCTTCAAATGGAGCGCAAGTTTCATTCAGCATCAGAAATTGCATACCAGGAAGAAACCCACCCAAGCCATGGGGCCATCTGTAGTCACGCCCCCAGTCCCCTCTGCTCTGCCTTCCCCTGCTGCGTGCTCTGCCCTAGCCATGCCAGGAGCTCCCCCATCTTTCCCACACGCCGGGCTCCTTCCTTCCTCTGGGCCGCTCTTCATGCTGCTCCCCTCATCTGACATGGCTGGTTCTGCACCTGTCCAAATACTGCATTTCTTTCAGGATCTTGCTTCCCCTGGGAAGTCATCCTCTTGTAGCCTGAACCCTTTGTCTCACTCCCCGTGAGCTCCCGCATGTTCTCAACTCTCACAGTGCACCTGGGTTTTCAGTGTTTTCATGGCTCCTGATGACGTCTTTATTGATACTCTCTTGGTCTTAGGTAAGCCATTATTGTTTTCCCAACGCCGTCGTACATTCTCACATTTAAGGACCATGTTTGATTACTCTCTTCTATCCCCTGGGGAGGACATGGTAGTATTTCGTCTTTTACAATGGCCATTGTTGACCTATACCATCAGCCTGTGCCTGCCTTTTGGGGCTGCCGGAGTTTCAAGTTTGCAGAACATTCTGGGTTTTAGGAGTATGGCATTACAATGAGATGGGCCATTGTAATTTGAGAAATGAAGGGTGGGGAAGCTGCCAAGTCCATGTGAGGAAGTAATCAGGAAGTATCCAATGACGGCTTTCAGGATTTAAGGCGGGCCATTTGGTGGGCCAGTCGTGAGGCTCACTGTGGGGAATCTGAAACTTGGATTTTTTTACCTTGATAATGAACATCAGAAGGATCCTGTGTGATCAAGCAATAGACAAGGATATAATCAGTGGAAAGAATATGATTAGAAGGTGATCTGTTTTTTTTCTCTTGGGCTTCTTTGCTATTTCCACCCAAAGCTTTAATTTTAGTGCCCAGTTACGTAGCTATGAAAAATGGCTGGGAGCTTGTGCAGTTTTGGGCCGGTGCCTGGGTATAGGAATGTACAAACTATACATGGTGTGAACTTGGCCTCTTACACTGATGAGCACCAGAGGGAGGAAGAGAAACCCAACAATGACTTGCTGGAACTCCTGCCTCAGAAGAGTCAGTTCCTGATCAGTCACCGTGGGTGTGCACCTTGACATTCTCATGCCCACTCCACCTCCCCGAGACGAAATCTGAATTTGTGAGTGGTGGTACTTTTACATTAATTTTATAATGAACTACTTTGGTAATATCAAGAAGAGTTTAAAGGAGGCTAATTTTACCAGACGTTATGATCTCACTGGTCTGGCCATATTTTCCATCCCGTGGTTACAGACCCTCACCTTTCTCAGAATCACTGCTGCAGGACAGTAGCAACGTGGAAAAGTATTTAAAAAATTATGTGAGAATACAGTACTAAAAATAGTATTACAGTGTTATTATAACACCATAAAATTATGTCTGCAAGGGAAGGCATAGAAAGGCATTTTGATTTGGGCTTTGACCAGGTTTACTGACATATACTTTATAGACAGTAAAATTTACCGTGTTCAAGAACACAGTTTGGTGAGTTGTGACAAATGAATACAATTAGGTAACCAGATGCGGAAAATTTCCATTATCCCCAAAAGTTCTCTCAGCACAGGGAGAAATTTAAATCATTGGTGGGATGTTTGGGATTTTTCTTAAGATTTTATTTATTTTTAGAGAGGGGAAGGGAGGGAGAAAGAGAGGGAGAGGGACACCAATGTGTGGTTGCCTTTTGTATGCCCCCCACTGGGGACATGGCCCACAATCCAGGCATGTGCCCTAGACTGGGAATCGAACCAGTAACCCTTTGGTTTGCAGGCTGGCACTCAATCCACTGAGCCGCACCAGCCCGGGAGGGGTTTTTCTTTATTTTCATTCCTTGATAAGGTTTGCGCAATACATAAAATTCAAGAGACTAAAAGGCAATAACCAAACTTACCTACCTGTAGCCAGAGCTTCCGGAATATGCAAATATCCCTTATCCAGAATCCTGCTAAGAAAAGCAGTCAAAATGCGGAAAATGACAATGACTGTGGTTTCTTTGTCATATTTCTCACACACACATATAACAGAACATCTTCATTATCTGAGGGTTTGCTCCAGTGAAAGAAGGAAAAACGAGGAAGACATTGTGCCCAGAAAAATACGGGTCCATTGTGGGAAAACAGTGAAGATACAAAAGGGGCTCCCGTATGTGGCAGTTTGGGGAAAGAGCCATCAACAACCATTCACCTTTAGTCTTACGGCCTTTCCCACCCTGTGCCCGGCTGTGTGTTCCAGGCCCAGCCTGGAGACAGATTTCAATCAATGGCCCAGTAGCCTGTCCTGTGAATACTGGAATCTGAATCTTGTGTCCTCATACCAAGGAGAGAATAAAACGTTAAGGATACCATAAAGTCAGGTGGTGGGAAATAGAAGGGCAACTAGGAAATTTTTAAAAAGCTGTACAATAAAGGAAATGTAATCTTAGTACAGCATTTGGCTCTATAGTGAGTAGTATTTATACTGTAGAGAGAAGAGGTCTTTCCAGGCTGTTGGAAAAACTGGTGGTAGAGACATATTGTCAAGAAACATCTGGGCGCTGACTCTCCTTCCCCTGACACCCATCACCATGGCCACTACTGTCACCTAGCTGATTCTGGGTTTATTGCAGGGGTGAAAAGAGCCCAGAACTTACGAACATTCCTTTACATAGAAGTGCATACCTGTGTGTGTGTATGTATGTAAGTCCTTACTAGCTCACCTTGAGTATAAAAGCATGGCTCACAAAAGATGAGCTTCTCTTATACAGAGGGCCCCTTCAGTATGGGCAGCGTGTGCAGCAGCTGTGGGGGCGGGGAGGCTACTGGCAGCAATTAAAGCTCTGCTGAGATAGTGCCGCACCTGCTCCTGCTCTCTGTGGCTGCCAACGAGACTGAAACTTCACTACTTAAACCATACACAAGGGTTGCGTTACATTTTCTCAGGGCATTTGTCATTCATAGCAGTGGTAATTTTGCATTGTTTACATTTGTTTCATATTTCTTTTGCCTTTACTCCTTTTTTGCATAAAGGTTCAGATACATGGACTTTAAATGTGTATTGTGGTAGGGTCTTAAGTGTATTGTATATAACGTCTTCCTAAGAAGACACTGAATGAGGATTACTCAGGCACATTATAATTAAAGAACTGGCCTTGTTTTACAATTATTGTGAACTGTTGAAAGAACTGTGTTTATCTTAATGTAATTTATGTTCTGGCATAATTTGTAATTTCAGAGCTTGGAAATGCATACAATCTTTCCCATGGAAATGAATGGTATAATAGTTTAATTGACTTCCAATAAGTCAATTGGCCTTAGGTTTGTGTGTGTGTGTGTGTGTCTTTAAACATGTTGCCCCCACAATATAGGGATAATGTTACTGTTTACAAGTCCTTTAAAAGAGCAGGCTGATCTCCAAATCCTTTTCCTGGTTTCCATGTAGCCAAGAGGCTCTCCTTTCCCCACCCAGGCAGACGTCTGGACATGCAGTTTCTTAAGCTGGTGAACCATACATACTCTCTTGCTAAGAGAAGGGCAGGGATGAGGCACCCAGATCTTGTACACTGGCATTCTCAAATCCCTATAATCCCTAGTCCCCTTTCCCTGCTCAGCTTTTAGAATGTTCAAACCATTCTTCCTGGCCTGGGGGAGGAGGCGGAGCAGTTCTCTTAAACAGCACGGCAGTGCTCGGGTGAGCAGGGGCAGGGCTCCGAAGCTGTCTGCAGGAGCAGGAGAGCCCTCTGGGTAACACACAGGCTTCCCACACTGGCATTCTCCACGAGGAACTTCTGGGCAGGGTGGAGACATTTATTTGGATTGCAAATATGTAACAAAGGCGAATCATGGTGGCTGTCTCCTCGGCACTTCTAGCTAGGCAGTGGAGTGCCCTGATGAGTCTTTGAGGATGGAGTGGTTCTGAAGACTGGCACAGGAAGAGCCTGGAGAATGTTCATCACAAGGTCTGAAACATTTAACAATATCGAGGACCCAGTATTTAGCCGATAGGCCACTGGGCCATTGCCTGAGATCTCTCTCCAGGCCCGGCCTGGAAGACACTCGCAGGTATAAGCTGGGAAAGGGCTGTTAGGCTAAATGTTTATGGTTGTTGAGGGCTCTTTCCCTAAACTGCCACATAAGGGAGCTCCTTTTGTATCTTCAAAATCAAATAAGATTAGAAAAAAACAAACTCGCAAGCACTTACTATATGCCAGGCATTACTGTACATACTTTGCTAATCTATACATTTAAATATTAACCCTCAACAGCCCTTTGAGGTTGGTACCGCCGTCATACTCATTCAAACACACAAGGAAGAGGGCAACCTTGTGGTTGGTCACACTAGTAAGCGCACAGCCAGGTTTCTGGACCTCGGCAGCCGACGCTCTCCCCCGGTGCACATTCCGTCGTTGATGCGATGGGCCCCCTCTTCCCACTTCCAACCCTCCCACCGCGGGCGGGTGCAGCCACAGATCCCAGGCAGCAGTGGCCCCTCGGGACCAGGCAGGGCAGCTCGTAGTGGCAAACACCAGAGCACCCTGGGTAATTCCCAGGACTGGAACCATTCTATGGCCCGAGCTGGCCGGCCGACATCCCCCGGAAGAGTTACTGGGGGCAGGCACTGCAGGACCTGAGTCTGGAGCCGGCAGCTTTCTGTCCGCAAAAATATGGACAGGATCCTTGGTGGCTGGGAAAGGGAACCACAGAGACGAGCCGCTTCCCAGGTTCCTAGAGAGGAAACGGTGTACGCACTTCCGGCTGAGCCGGTTCCTGGCTTCCCAAACAAGACAGCTGATCGCGCTATTACGCTATCCCTGTGCCTCCGGCTCCCGGGGTTGACTTTCCCCTCGGGTCAGGTTTCGGTTTGCCGGCCTGGTAGCTGGTTCGTTTCCCCAAGGCGGAGTACCAGGTTGAGGAGGTGTTGGGACGGAGAGGCGCCCCAGGCGAACGGAGGGCACTTGCAGGGTTCGAGGCAGCTTAGTTTTACCTGTGCTTCCTTCTTTTCTCTTAAGTCTCACTTCTCAGAGCCTCGAGGGCCGCGTGGGAAGCGGGGGTGTCAGCCATGGCCCAGGCCACTTGGCGCCCGGTGAGCCAGCATCCTCTCAGCCTCTGTTGATCCCCATCCTTTCAGTGTCACGAGAGCAGGTGTCAGCTCCGCAACCAGATCCTGAGTTGCCTGGCCAGTGGCTTTCATGGGGAATCTGTCAGTACTAGGCCTGTTGGAGAAGAGGAGGAGTTGAGGGAGTGGAGAGATGAAAGATGCCCAAACTAATTCAGATGGGGGGAAAAAAAAAAAATCTGAATGGGACCGGGGATTGATTGGGATAGATTTGGCAATTCAGACCGAAAAGTGGAAATCTGCAACACCGCATGCAGTGAAGACGTTTTTCACTCCCTTCCACAAGATTGGAGACGTCTTTCCTGGGATAAAGCAATCTAGGAATTATTTTGTACAGCCCATTGAGTTTCCTGTATAGACTTGCCATCTATGAATAAAGAATTTCATTTCTTCCTTTCCAGTCTGGATGCCATTTATGTATGTATGTATGTATTTATTTATTTTGCCTAATTGCACTGACTAGAGCCTCCAGTTCAGGGTTGAGTGGAAGTGGTGAGAGCAGCTATCACTGTTGCTGCTCTTTTTGCGTTGCTTTTTTTCTCTGTGTTTTATTTTGTATTGCTTTGCCCTCATATTCACTATTTTTTTCCTGCATTGTCTAATTTGCTCTTAATTCCATGAAGAATTTTTCATTTCAGACATTGGAGTTTTCATATGCAGAAGTTTGGGTCTTTTTAAGAAATAGGTCTTTCTGGTCTGTTTTCACTTTTGAACATATGGTGTACAGTTACACTATTTTAATGTTCTCTGTTAATTCTAACACCTCTCAGTTCTGGGTTGGTTTTGACTAATTGATTGTCCTCACATGTATTCCTGCCTCGTTGAATGGATAATGATCTTTGATTGAATGCTAGGCATTGTTGGGTGCTATGTATTTTTATATTCCCCCAAATCTTCCTGAGTTCTTTCTGGGATAAAGTTCAGCTGCTTGGAAACAATTTGATCCTTTCTGGTCTTGATTTTTATGATTCATTATTAGGGTCTGGAGCAGGGCTTAGCCTAAGAATACTCATTGTCCACTACTGAGGCAAGAGTTTCCTGAGTGTTCTATCCAGTACCCCACAAATTATGAATTTTTTAAGTGTGACTAGTGGACTGAGGTGTCGTGTGAACGTCAGGCATTGTTCCCTTCAGTCCTTTCAAATGATCCTTTCTCTGGCTTTGGGTAGTTAACTTACTCCCACGCCTTGAGCAGTACTCTGTTGAATTTTCTGGGGGAACCATCTACAGATGCTCGTACCCCTTCCCTGTTCAGCGCTCTCCTCTCTGGTATTCTGTCCTATAAACGGTAGCTGTCTTGGTCTCCTCAGGCTCACCAGGGATCTGCCAGGCTCTGTCTCAGTTCCCCGGATTTCAGCCTGGGGTATCATGCGACTTACCTCTCTGTTTCCCTTGTCTCAGGGATTATTGCCCTTCATTGCCTGATATCCATTATCTTGAAAACTTGTTTTATGTAATTTTGTCTTATCTTGGTTCAGGCAGGAGGATAAATCTGATCATCGTTATTCCATGCAGACAGAAATGGAAGGTTTCCCTCAGCATTTTCAAAAACATTTTTTTTACTTTTGCCATGTAGTCCGTTGCCATCTTGACTCTCCCGTCTTCATATACGTGGTTTTCCTTCTCCAAAACCTTTAGGATATTTTTTATGTTCTCATTTTTCTGATACTTCTCAGTGCCGTGCCTTTGTATAGGTATTTTTCATCCATTGTCCTAAGTACTTTGTGTGCCCTCCCTTCTCCCCGGTGCTTTTAAACAGGTAGAATATTTTATCAGAATATCCTGAGCTCATCCTTGGTTCTTTGCTGTGAATTGACCTCCTATTGGTTTGCGGCCCCCCCTGCCAGTAGGCAAGATTCAGTTTGCTCTGCTCTTCTAATTCCATTACCATTCATCCTTTTCTTTCTGCCTTCTAAAGCATTGTTAACACCTCCTCTTGGGCCATTATGTTACTGTTAACTTTAGCGGGATCAGAGAAGGAGTGGAGATTACAAAAATGCTGTGGGCTGTGTTTATACAGAAGCCCACTTGAGATGCAGGCGGGGGAGAGGAGCCTAGGGCCGGTGGACACATGGGGCGGGTCATGGCGGGGTCAGGGCAGAGACTGCGGGAGAAGGACGGGCGGTTTGCAGGGGGAGGCTGCACAGGGCTGCCGTGAGGAGGGCAGTGCTGGTGGAGGGCTGGCCCTGGGGGGAGGGCAGGGAGGTCACTGGCCACCTGTCCTTGGCTATACCGCTGGTCCTTAGGCTCCCCTGCCCTCACACAGGCGTGAGCAGGAACCTGTCATTTCAGCAGCTGGTGATCTTTGAGGATGTGGCCATGAACTTCACCCAGAGTAAATGGGGACATCCTGGACCCTGCGCAGAGGGCCCTGTACAGGGAGGTGATGCTGGAAAATTATGCAAACATGGCTGCCCTGGGCAAGACCTTTCTCATCCCTGCTGGTGTCTGCCTCTGTCTTTTCAGCATCCTGGCTTCTCTCTTCGTTAGACTTTGTGGGTCTCTAATAACCCTCATGGGCAGTTGCTCTGAAGGCTGAGTTCTCCATAGGCTACTGCATGGGGAGAGGTTTTGACATCAGTTGTACCTTCAGTGCTGGGAGGGTTTCTGTCCTATGGAGGGAAATGAGTTTTTGGGAGCTCAGCAGAGCCCTTTGTGCCCCGTCTTCCAGTTCCCTGAAGATGTGGGACTCCCTCACAGGAGTGAGGGATTACTCCAGCGTTCTTCTCCCCGATAGGAATTGTCGGCCTTCTAAGGTGGCACAGGCTGAGGACTTCACTTGGGCCCTCCCTACCTTGCTAAGTGGAGCAAGATAAAGAGAGCTGGCAGGGGACCCTGTCTCATGAGTCCCTTTACCCTTTTATTCCTTTTTCTTTCTCGCTGGACAGCTTTTCCTTTGACCACACTTGTTCTGGTATTGCAGCGGGAGCGAGGGGAATTGCCTCTCGATGCCTGGGCATGTGTGGGCGTGAGGGCCCTCCCAGGTGTCTGTCCAGGTGAGCACCAGAGCCTGCCAGCTGCCGTTTCTACTTAGCCTGTGTTCTTGTTTTCACGTTTCACTATGTAAGAAGAGTGTCTTCGCTTGTGAGGCTGTTCTTGTCCCTGCAGAATCATTACATATCATTCTCTAAATTCACAGTGGTGGCCTCCCTCAAATAGGAAGGACCAGTCTCTTCCAAGAAAGGCATGACTGCAAGATTTCTTTGCGTGTTCTTTGCCTTTAGACCTCACCATCCACCAAGGGACACCATCTGACTGAGCAGCTCTTAAAGCATGGCAGCTATTTTCATGTGTGTCATGTAGAAAGTTTATTTTTCTACCAGTTTCTTTTTGCAGAGATGAAGTCGTCAACTACCTTATGAGGAAAATAGGCTACTAGAGGCCAATCTTGCTGTCCACATATTCACAGAATACATTATTTCTATGGAAACGAAATTATGAGTTTCTAAACATTGGTGCCACAAAAAAAATTATTTTTATAATGAAAATTTTCACACATATGCAGCCACCAGCACAACACACCCCATGCATCCCTCCTGCCAGCAGCCACCTGTGTCCTGCTGTTCTTGTTTCATCTTTCCCTCAGGGACCCTTAAAAAATATTTTTTAACAGGTGAATTTTTGAAGCAAAACTTGTAAGTGAAAGGCGAATGGCTTCCTCGTTTTCAAAGGTATTGAAATGAGACTTGAAAATAACAGCATTAATTCTTTTGTCTTTGGTCTTCTGCCTCACTCCTTCTCCACCTGGTAGAATTTTCTGTGCTCTTCAGTCGTTTCAGGGGATGTCCATTAATGATGCACCTGACTGGTGTGGCTCAATGTGTTGGGTATTGTCCTGCGGACCGAAAGGTCGCTGGGGAGCATTCCCTGGCAGCCCTCCCAGGGTCAGGAGAAGCGTGGTCAGTGCGGTGAGGCACTAGCTAATTGGCTGTTGTCTAGTGGGCGGGGCTATCATCGATTGGCTGACTTTCAAGGACGTTTGTCATTGATTGGCTCACATTCATAAATTTGAGTCTGCTATTGATTTGCTAACTTGCAGAAGCATGGGGGACGGGGTGTCACCGAAGTGAGGTTGTCATTTATTGGTTTTCAGAGCATATATACTGGCCCGAAGTTACGTGAACTAATAGCAGTTATTTGTCTGTGACTTGCAACTTTGATTAAAAAAGTCTTTTCCTTTCTTGAATAAAAAAAAAACTAAGTGCTTTTAATGTTTTCTCTTTTTCCCTGCTATCAGCTAAACTTCCAAGAGACACTGTAAGAAATTATCCAGATCTTTATTTGTGCAGGTATGATTTTTTTTCAGCCAGCGTTGACATTTAAGTTATTTTAGTGCCAGTGACCGATCCCCACCCGCTAAAGCTCTAAATTACAGAACATCTTTCGGGATTTATTGGAAAAAGCTAAACACAGGACATTTAGAGCATCCTGCCGAAGTCAATTTAGGACTAAACCATTTAACATAGGGCATGTTCTGTATATACAGGATGCTTGGGAACCTTAGTCACCATTATTTTGGTTGTTAAATGGACCTGCCCCAAAAGGTCCCTCACGCGTACAGGTCCTAAGAAAGAGGGGGCTTTATAAAGGCAGGTGGAGACCATGGTTTTCCTAAGGGCTGCCCCGCCTAGGACCCAAGCACCATCCTTAGCTTGGACACCTAAGAGACGACACAATAGGAGCCATTCTCCCCACACCTGCATAGCCCAGGTGACCCTCGGAGTAATGGTGGCTGACAGCTGATGGGGCAGTCCATCACCTGTGGCCCCACCTGTGCCTCGAGGTCGAGGTGTGGAGCGAGGCTGTATCAGCGCTGTAACACTCCAGTCCCGAGTCGGTTGGTTGTAGCTGGCAAAGGGACCCGGCCCCATCCAGTGACGGCTCAGGCGGGAACCCGCCCACCACCCCACCCCTTCCGCAGGGCCGGCCCCAGTCACGTGGCGTCAGGCAGCGGGGACCACTGAGGTGGGCAGCCTCCGAGCGGCCTAGAGAGGCGCTGGGCGCACGCGCACTTCCGTATTGGCTTTTTGGCTACTAGCTTTTCTGGGTCGGAGAGGAAGAGTAGGGATTCCAGAGAGTTCTGCGTGCCAGATCTGCTTGGTTCCGACAGCCTCGCTTTCCCTGGCGCTTCGTCAGCACCCCGGCCCCTGAACTTGGTCCCGGTGGTGGCTCGCCCCTCCCTGATCGGGGATTGTGGTGTCTGGGCCTCGTGGAAGCCGCCGGAGGTGGCAGCGCGGACTTACAGAGCCCTGGTCCAGCCCCCTGCCCACCGAAAACTGTGACCCTCTTTCCCACCCTGAAGAATTGGCCCAACAGTCTTCTGCGCCTGGTGCTGACGTTTCTGTGTTTGGCTTCTCCTGCTTCCCTGGGTGGAGATCCCGGGAGGGTCTCGGTCAGCATCACCCACCGGAACACTATTCTCTTAATCCGCAGCCAGCCGCCCACCCCTGTCCCTCCTCTCCGTGGGCATCTTTTTAGGTGGGGGTCTATGTCATGGTCCCTATAAGAACTTTTTTAGGTTTGTTTGGACACTGTAGGGGCAGGGCTTGCCTCCGTTGTCTCAGTCCACCCGGTGTGACTGGGCTCAGGAGCAGTCGCGCTGAGCGGGCGGATGGGGGATTGTCCTGAGGCCCAGGTAGAGCAGATCAGGAGGAGGCTTGCTAGAGTCTCCTACCAGTGCTGGAAATGAGGAGACTGGGAAGGCCCTAGGAAACTGGGTGATTCAGGACTGAACTCCTAGCACTCATGGCTCTTCTCTTAGCTTCTAAGGTTCTTGCGTTTTCAAATCCAGAAGACAGTGCACGAAGCCAGGGGACATCAGCCATGCTCGAAACAACTTGGCCTCAGGTGAGATGAGCTTCCTTTCCATCTTTTAAAAATCACATTAGCTATCGGATGATCAGGAAAGGACCGAGAAGGCCTCACGTGGCCAGGTTCTGGTTTTCTTTTCGTGTCTATCCCCAGGGCAATGGCTGTAAATACGTGGTGGAGGAATTTTGTGTATAAAGTGATGCATTTGGATATGTAGGTTTAAGCATAAAAAGTGGACCTAAGACAAGAAACTCCCCTTCCCCTGGAAATCTAGATCATGTATTACAAAGAAATGAAACCTGCTGAGATCAGAAAAATGCTTCATTGACGATATTGCCCCACCAACTGGGGACGTATCCCAGAGAGCGGCACTGGTCTTTCCATATGCTCCCTCTAAATGCTAGGTGCATAGTATTGAGTAATGCAGACAAGTTCCCTTTTCACATTAGAAAAATAGTCTACAAACAAATAGGCAAGTTAATATCATAATTACACGTTGCTAAAGTACAGTGCTTCTCAAGAGTGTGGTCCACAGGCAGCGGGGGCATCACCTGGGAGCTCATTAGAATCGCAAATTTGGGGGGCGTGCCCTAGACTCATTCAGACTAAGGAGGATGCCACCCCTGCATCAGGAAATCTGTTTTGAACGCTCTGCAGCTGATTCTTGTACACCTTCTCAAATTTGAGAAACGTCAGTGAAGCTCCCTCATTGGTAATGATCGGGGGAGGCCTCATGTGGAGGAGAGAAACAGTCTTGGGAGCTACTGAAGAGAGAACTTTCCAGAGGGAAGGACAGCAAGTGGAAAGGCTTTGAAGTGGGGGAGAAATCTGGGTGTTCTTTAGAAACAGGGAGAGGCCAGGGAAAGTTGTTCAGTGTGAGGTGGGAGAAGTAGGCACATCTTTTAGGTCACTGTGAAGACTTGGTTTCTACTCTTGGCTCATTGGGAACGCACTAAAGTATTTTAAGCAGGGGAGATGACATGGTTTGATTTATATATTAAAAAGGTTTTCCATCCCTTCATGGTGAATTGTTTGTGGAAGGGTATTAATCACTTAGGTACATATTGCAGACCAGGTAAGCGATTAAGTGTTGTCTTTTTTTTTTTTTTTAAAGTAGACTTCCTTTTTTTAGAGAAGTTATAGGTTCATAGCAAAGTTGAGCAGAAAAGCAGTTTCCTTGTGCTTCCTGTCTCTACACATGCAGAGCCTTCCCCATGGTACGTTAGTTACAACTGATGAACCTACATTGACACATCATTGTCACCCAGAGTCCATAGTTGCATGTTCTGTGGGTTACAAAGGTATGATGTCATGTATCCACCATGACAGCGTCGTACAGAGTAATATTGTAGTGTTATACAAAGTATTTTCACAACCCTGAAAATCCTCTGGGCTGTACCTATTCATCCCTCCCTTTCTGGCAACCATTGATTTTTTTTAAACTATATACAGTTTTGCCTTTTTTCAGAATGCCATATATTTGGAATTATATAGTGTAGCCTTTTCAGATTGGTTTCTTTCATTTAGTCATATTCATTTAAGGTTCCTCTATGACTTTTCATGTCTTGATAACTTGTTTGTTTATTTTTTAATTTATTTTTTTAATCCTCACCCAGGGATGTTTATTAATTTTAGATAGAGAGAGAAACATCGATTATTTGCCTCCCACATGGGACCATGTTCCAACCAACTGAGCAGGGCGATAGCTTATTTTTCAATGCCGAGTAATGTTCCATTGCCTGGATGTCCATTTACCTACTAAGGACATTGTGGTTGCTTCCAAGTTTTGGCAATTGTGAATAAAACTACTGTAAACATCTGTGTGCAGGTTTTTGTGTGGACATAAGTTTTCAACTCATTTGGGAAGATACCAAGGAGCGTGACTGCTGGATCATATGGTAAGAGTATGTTTAGTTCTGTGAGAAACTGCCAAACTGTCTTCTAAAGCGGCTGTACCAGTTTGCATTCCCACCAGCCATGAATGAGAGTCCCTCTTCCACATCCTCACCAGCATTTGGTTGTCCGTGTTCTGGATTTGGCTCTTCTGATAGATGTGTAAGTGGTATCTCTTTGTTTTAATTTGCATTTCCCAGATGACATGTGATGTTAAATCTTTTCATATACCAATTTGCCGTCTTTATTTCTTCTTTAATGAGGTATCTGGTCAGGTATTTTGCCCATTTTTTAACTAGGTGGTTTACTTTCTTACTGTTGAGTTCTAAGAGTTCTTTGTATACGTTGGATAACAGTCCTTTATCAAACCCTTTTTTCCCCAAATATTTTATCTCTGTGGCTTGTCTTTTCATTTCTCAAAGTATTGTCCTATTAAAGTAGGGTTTAGTCTCCCTTTGTCTTTTTTATTTCAAAAAAATTTTTTCAAAATATTTTCAGCGAGTCTTTCACACTTACTTTTTCAGTTGGCTTTTTTTTTTTTTTTTAATCCTCACCCAAGGACATGTTTATTGATTTGAGAGAGGGAGGAAGGGGAAGAGAGAGAGAGAGAGAGAGAAAGAGAAACATCGATTAGGGAGAGAAACATTGATCGATTGCCTCCTGTGTGCGTCCCAACTGGGGATCAAACCCGCAGCCTAGGAATCAAACCCATGACCTTTTGGTCTGCAGGATGATGCTCCCACCAACTGAGCAACCTGATGGTTCAGATGGCTTTAGATCAGGGGTGTCCAACCTGTGGCCCGCACGCGGCTCAGGATGGCTATGAATGTGGCGCCACACAAAATCGCAAATTTACTTAAAATATTATGGGTTTTTTTTCACTATTATGTGTAGCAGTGTACTTAATGGGTGGCCCAAGATAACTTTTTTTTTTCCCCAGTGTGGCCCAGAGACGCCAAAAGGTTGGACACTCCTGCTTTAAATGATCCCCTACCCCTGCATAAATCTCATTGATTCTTTTGGTGGGGGAGTGGATTTTATTGCATTCATAGGCAAAATTGAAGATAAGTTGACTTTTTACAAACTTGATTCTTCCCACTCAGAAACACTGTATGTTCCAATATATTTAATTTTTTATTTATTTTAATAAACATTCAGTTTTTTTCATCCCAGTCTTAAACATTTTTGTTAGGTATATTCTTAGCTATTTTTATATCAGTGGCATCTTATTTTCTCCGATTTTATCTCCTAATTATTGTGATGGTATTTAGGAAAGCAAATGATTTTGGTTTATTTATCCTCTGTCTAGCTAACCTAATTATTTTGTCTGTTTTAAATGTTTTCCTTGACTATCTTGGTTCTTGGATGTTTCAGACAGATACAGTTGGCCCTCTGTATCTGTGGGTTTCTTACCTGCGTATTCAGTCAACCATGGATCAAAAATATCTGAAAGGAAAGCTGTGCTGTTGCTGACGTGTACTGTGTGGTTAGGCTACGATGGTTGCATCTGTATGGAACATGCACAGACTTTTATTATCATTATTCCCTAACAGTACAGGAGAACCACTATTTCCATAGCACTTACATTGTATTAGGTGTTATAACTAGTATAGAGAGGGTTTAAAGTATATTGAAGGATATTTATAGTTATATGCAAACTATGCCACTTTGTGTAAGGGACTTGAGCATCCTGAGATTTTGGTGTCTATGGGGGGTCCCAGAACCAATCCCTGTGGTTACTGAGGGGGAACTGTAGTCATTGCATCCACAAAGCAAAAGCATGTATGATTATTCCTTTCCTGTGTGCTCCTTTTCCAGCCTTTTATAGAAAGTAGAACTCGGCTCATGGTAAACACTCTGCCGCCAACTTGAATGGATATGCTTTGGCATGTTCCTATTAAGGTGGTGTTTGCTGTTGTTTTCTGATCCTCTTCATAAATTTAGAAAGTCTTTATTTGTGGTCAAACCATTTTTGAAGTTCACTCTTTCACATATTTATATTAAACATCAAGTATCTTTTGTTAAGCAGTATACTGTGTGCCAGTAAACCAGTTATGAGCAGGACCGAATTCTTGCCTCGTGGGCTTAGATTCTGGTTGGGGGAGGTAGACAAGAACAAGTCCCCCTCGCTCTTGGGAAGACGGAGATGATCCCAGGGGGAGGCAGCGAGGGGCACAGACCTTGACAGGTGGGATGGATCTATGTCCAGAGACAGGGCACCGCCAAACTGATTGGAAGACAGGTGGTTCAGAGAAGAGGCTGGGACAGGTGGGCTGCAGGTTTTCTTTGATCAGAGTAGGCTTTCCGATACAGTAAGAAGGTATAAAAAACTGCAAAATGCCGGGGAGATTTCTGAGGGGTGCTTCTTTGCACACAGTGGGAGGTGTTGGGGAAGACCCACGGGAAGCCGGGCGCAGGGAACAGGGGCTGCGCGAGTGTACTTTAGGTGGGTGGAGGCGGGGTGAGTGTCAGCTGCCTGCAGGGGTTGGTGTACAGAAAAAAGGTGACCAGGTTATGGAGTACACGAGGCGGGAGGTGCCAGAGGGACGTGTGTTGATGCAGTCACCAGGCAGAGAGCCCCGATGCCAGGCTCTGAGACGAGGATGACAGTTGGGGCCCCGGCGCTGGGCAGAAGGGGGAGGTTGGGGCTCCGCGTTTGGAAGTGGGAACACTGGCCAAGGGCAGGCCGCTGGCTGGGTGCTGGGTGCGCTCCTTGGCAGAGCAGGCCTTCCCCAGCGCTCCAAGCTGGGGACCCTGCCGGTCAGGCTGCCTCCTCCTGCCCCTCAGGCGGTGTGAGCAGGAACCTGTCATTTCAGGAGCCAGTGGCCTTTGAGGACGTGGCCGTGCACTTCACCCAGAATCAGTGGGCCAGCCTGGCCCCTGCGCAGAGGGCCCTGTACCGGGAGGTGATGCTGGAGACGTACGCCAATCTGGCTGCCCTGGGTAAGCCCTATCAGTGGCTTTTGGTGAGAGTCTGACATCGTCCTCAGATCTTTTGGGGAGCTCTGCAGTCACCAGCCTCTGGAGATGCGGGTGGGGCGGTCACTGGTGCCCTTTGGCTTTGAAGCTGGACTTCCTTCCCTCTCAGGGGAGAATGTGAGAATGTGCTTTTGGGCCCTGTGAGGAAGGACTTCCCAGGGCCCTAGGTGACCCCTTCCCTCCTCCACCCTGCCACTGTCCTAGGGTTGTGGGCCGTCCCTCCGAAGAGGAGTCTCCCACGACATCCGTACACATAGCCCTTCCCAAGGGGACTTCCTTTATCCTGCATCAGGGTAGGGGTGTAATTTCCTCCTGCGGAGAGTGGCTGTCTCCCCGTCACACCCCTGGAGCAGTTCGGAGCCCTTCCTCAGAACCCCTGGCTGGCCCGCCTGGGCTCCTGGGTGGTCCATTTCTCTCCCCTCTACTAGCGCGTCATGGGATGGGCCAAGTGCGATCTCAGGAGCAGTTCTGGATGTCTCCCTCAACTTGCCGGTCTTTTTTCCTTGCTGTAGTCGCATTTCCAGTCCCCAAACCTGCTCTGATCTCCCGGCTGGAGAGAGGGGAAGCACCCTGGGGTGCCGATCCCTGGGCAGCAGAGGTTTTGAGCCGCGCCAGTCCAGGTGAGTCGGGGGATGCAGCAGTGTCTGGGGTTGCCTTCCCCCTTTACTGGAAGTTTCTGCCGCAGAAAACAAGGCTTCCTGTTGCCCAGAAGGTGGTTTTCAGGGCACTCCGGCCTCTCCTGACTTCCAGCCCCGAGCCCAGAAAGACCGGCCCCCGGGGTCGCTTGGCCTCGCACTTTCTGCGCACGAGTGCGGCTGTCCTCCCGCAGATAACCTTGACCCTGGAGCTCCTAAACCACTTCTTTTCTCACCAGTGGAAAAATTTAATTTTATGCCAATTTTTATGGCACAGAAGCAGGGCTTTGGTCACATTTTAGGGAAAATTTGATTCTGTTGGTCAAACTGATTTATTTATGCCACTGCTATGAGGTCCAGTTTAATTTGCCTTTTTGTGCATTTTAAAGTTTCCTACGCCATAATCTTGAGGTTTACGTTGTATCTGTTTCCTGTGGAGCTGCAGAGGAGAAGGCAAGGACTATCCGTGCCCACCCAACCTGCCCATGGCACCTGACACGTGCTCACAACCGAGTTTCTCCAAGACTGCTCCCCGGTCCGGGAGCTCTGGATTACTTGGTTTTCTTCCCTTTTGAAAGAAAGTTCCAGGCCTCACTTCTCACATGTGCTGTGATTTTGTAACAAATAATGGTTCGTTTAGCAGTAATACCGCTGCAGCCTGGAGCTCTCCATTCCACTTCTGTTCAGCTGACTTTCTGCAAGAAGCTTTTATCCCGGAGCGTTATGTGGAGCCTTCCAAAATGGAATTGTTAGGTCATTCGGTAGATTTTAGAATTCAGAGTGGTCTCCTGGACAGCAGGGGTTGGAGCGGGGGCATTGCGGTCCGTTGTTTGCGTGTTTGTGTTCCCCGCCTGCTCTGTCTCTTGCTGCACTAGATCCGACGTCTGTGCAGTCTCACTGGCCTTTTTCGTCTTCTAGGTCTCTCTCTCTTTAAAAATTTTTCCATTTCTGCTGATCCCTCTTATCTGTCCTCTTCTTTTCTCTCTTCCCCCCTCCTGCCTTCTTTCCCTTCCATTCTTGAAGTTCTCATCCTGCCCGTTTCACCTGCCTTAGTTTTTCCCCCTCGTCTTCCTTACAGGAGGGACTTCCTGCTCTGTTTCCAGTGTCATTACTTCTCCAGTTGTATGTTATTATTTTTCTTCTTTTCTCTCCTTTATGGATGCTTATAGGCATTTCATAGGTTTATTTCTTTATTTATGATTTTGAAAGTATGTTTATTAAAGCTGGGGACAGTGAAACAAGGAAGGGCTTAGAATAGAAGAAGCAACAGAGAGGGTCTTGGAGCCAGGTTCAGGGGGTGAGCCTAGGATGAGCTGCTGCTGCCCGCTGCTCCCCTGGTTGCAAGTCTCATGGGGTCCCTCGGAGCTTAGGAGACGTGTGCCTGAGAGGAGGACGGGGGAACGGAAAGGCACGGGTGTGCTTCCGGAACGAGGAGTGTGCTCTTGGGTATACTTTAAAAAAATCACATCCTACAAAAGAAAATTAGGACCCCTGGATCCTGTTTTCTGTGCAGCTCAGTCATTCAGACACTTGTGGTTTCTCTGGTCAGGTGGTGAGTCCCGGATCAAGGATGAAGAGCCAGCTGTAAAGCAGGAAGCCTCTGGAGACACAGAGTGGCCCAAGGTGCCGGGAGGTGGGCTCATTAGAGATATTTCTCAGCACCTCGGTTTTAAAAGCAAGGCCACGTGGCCAACTTTCAGCCTGAATCCGAATCTGATACTTCGAGGGGGAATGAAGTTCTACGAGTGCAAGGTGTGTGGGAAAATCTTCAGGTACAACTCCAAGCTTATTCGGCACCAGATGAGTCACACGGGGGAAAAACCCTTCAAATGTAAGGAATGTGGCAAAGCTTTCAAGTCCAGCTATGACTGTATTGTGCACGAGAAGAATCACGCGGGAGAAGGGCCCTATGAATGCAAGGAGTGTGGCAAAGGTTTGAGTTCCAACACCGCCCTGACCCAGCATCAGAGGATCCACACCGGGGAGAAACCCTATGAGTGCAAGGAGTGCGGCAAGGCCTTCCGGAGGAGTGCGGCCTACCTCCAGCACCAGAGGTTCCACACTGGGGACAAGCTCTACAAGTGCAAGGAGTGTTGGAAGGCCTTCGGTTGTAGGTCACTCTTCATCGTCCACCAGAGAATTCATACGGGGGAGAAGCCCTACCAGTGCAAGGAGTGTGGCAAGGCGTTCACGCAGAAGATAGCCTCCATTCAGCACCAGAGAGTGCACACCGGAGAGAAGCCGTACGAATGCAAGGTGTGTGGGAAAGCCTTCAAGTGGTACGGCAGTTTCGTTCAGCATCAGAAGTCGCACCCCGAGGAGAAAAAGCCGGTCCCCACGAGTCCCCAGTGCCCCTCTTCAGCCCCGTCGCCGGGTCCTCTCCAGAGTCCCGGCCTGGCTCCAGCGGCGGCCGTGCCGTCCCTGACCTTTCCGCAGGCCGTGCTCCTGCCTACCTCCGGGCCCTTGTTCATGCTGCTGCCCGCACCGGGCCTGCCTTCGCCGCCCGTCCAGATAGTACGAGTCCTCCAGGGCCTCGCTCCCATCGGAAAGCCTTTCCCAATCAGTCTCACCCCTGCCCTCCCCCCATGAGCTTTGTCTGGCCACCCCTGTGGCTCACACCCAGCACATCTCCAACCTGATTTGAGTTTCACTTGTATTTTTTTTCTCACGTTACATGTGTTTCCACTGTTTCAGCATACACTCCATTGTAATCTATGTATTCAGAGACTGTGTTTGTATATTTTCTTCTGGAAATGGAAGTACTTGACCTTGCCATTGGCCCCTTTCAGGCGTGAACACTAATGGCTATACCTACACAGTGGGGCGGAGGTGTCTCGTCTTAGAAGGAACGTTAGAGAAGTTTGGGAGGGAACACATAGGCCATTAGAGAGAAGAGCCTAAGGGGAAAGGAGTAGGCATTCTTTGCTCCTGTGGGAGTAGAGAATTAGAACAATTTTGCAATAACAGACTTTAGAAATTAATGCAGATTGTTTAGTGGACTGAGATGGTGTATGAATGCAGTTGAAGTTCATTGCCCCTGGCTCAGATCATTGAGGACCTCACACATCTCTGCAAAAGCTCATGTGAAATAACCAGTGAGAAATAATATGAATGCATTGTAGCAATCATCTTATGATCAACAGCGATCATCTCTTTAATCATGCAGGTTTTTTCTTTAGTTTTGCTCTTTATGGTCAGATTTTTTTTTTTAACTTTGGTTTTCTAAGTAAATAGACACCAAGGCATTCACCGTTGTTCCATTCGTTGTGTAAGTTTTTCCTGGCGAGCACTCTGGTTTTCTGTTGGCAAGCACTGCTGCTAAGTGTTATTTCCTCTAGAAAGCATGAGCTGTAAACACGAATCAGGCAGGTTGCTAGAGAAATAGGAACGACAGCGTGGAGCCACCTTGGGGGAAATCTGAATAAGTCTCTGAAATTGCTTTTAAGGAATAAAGGGGGCTATGAAGTGGGCCTGTGGCTACACCTGTGATAGGTCAGTGAACTGGAATTTTGCGTTGCTCTTGCTTTTGACCTTCATCCTTGGTAAGGATATTTTACAACTAGACAGGATTGTGTGAAGAAATTCCTTGGAAAAGAACTCAAATTGATTATCAGCATTAATGTAAAGTAAATCCTTAACCTTGCTGATAATCAGTTTGATGGGAAGGGCCATCTTTTGTTTTTTTGTTTTGTTTTTTTTGAAGTTTTTTGCTATCTAAATGTTTCTCCAAAAAAATTAACAGAAAAACCTTTAAATGAGAGGTTCTTAAACTTTATCATGTGTCTGAATAACGTGGTGCACTGCATACCCTGGTGTAAAATGCATAATTTTCTGGCCTAACTCAGAAATTCTGATCCTGGATGTCTGGTGATGCTCAGGCCTTTACCGTGGACCGTGCTTTGTGAGATGCTTTCAGGAGAAATCGCCGCCGGGCCGTTGGGAGGCGTACCCTGATGGAAGATGTGGACTGCCTTATACGCAGTGGATCTTCAGGAGAGAGACTTCTAAGTGTAGTTTGAGTGCTGTCATTTTAGAAGGAGAGAGAAAAGCAAGTGGAATGTGGCCTGCAGGGAATACGGAAGTGGCAGCAGGAGCTGGGGTGGCCTGCGAAGGGTTCCGAGGTCTCCACGGCCGGGTACGTGGGGTCGCCATTGGCTGCCTTTGCTGTTTGCCTGTTGGCTGAAGTAATGAGGAAATACTTTTTTCTTACATAAAGTTAATACTCTTCAAACTAGCTCTTGGGTTAGAGAGCACATGATGGGTGTTACAGATGACTTGGAACGGTGACAACACGACACGGCGGGGTCTGTGGGACGTGGCAAGAGGTACTCAGAGCAAGACAGTCTTGGATGCATTCTTTAGAAAACTAGTTTGAAGGCTTGCAATTCGAAGCTGGGTTGTAGGAAGCAAAAAATAAAAACGAGCCAACAACATTCAGAATAAACAGCACAAATTAAGGTATACAACAGTTTTTGATGAAGATGGTGGTTGAACACGTTAGCATTCACACCCTCCTCGAAGCTCACTAAAACAGTGAAGAGGTTCATTGAAAGGCATAAACTCACAAGGACAACAATGATAAGAATAATGATATTTTGGAAGCTCAATGGCAGGTGAAAGTTGTAACTCTGCAGACCTGAGAAATGTGAATCCTAAGCTTCCTTGGGGGAGGCTGAGCAGCTATCTGATGAGGCAGAGTTCCTAAGACGGCTTAGGAACTGAGGGTTCCAGTACTCCTGGAAGCAGGGATGCTGGTGAGGCTGAGAAGAGGAGAACCGGCTAAAAGTCTTGAAGAAGCACTCAGCTGCCTGGGCTGCCTGCCGTCCCTCTGTTTTTCTGGAGCAGTAGAACCGGAGTTTTGGAGATCAGGTACCACGCTGAAGGTTAGGTCCTGCTCCCTCACCCTTGAGCCGTCATGGGTGGAGAGAGCAATACCAGGTGTTTGCCAATGGATTTATAAACTCAATCCCGTCAAAATTCTCAAGGGTTTTTTTGTGTGTGTGTGTGACTTGACAAGCAGATTCTCAAATTTATATAGAAGAGCAAAGAATAAAGAATGGTTATGACAGTTTTGAAGAATGAGGTGGGAGATTTTGTGCTACCAGATACTAAATAGTGATCATCAAACATAGAACAAAGGGAAACCAAAAAGACCCAAGTTATTAAAAAAATAGTACTCTATGATACAATTTTTATAAATTAAAAATTATAGTTAATACTGTTTAGGAATATACATGCTGTATACCAAATTGTGAATATACAAAAAGCAAAATTACAGAGAAATCAAGCTTCAGTGGCATATGCTGAGAAAATAGATCCCTGTCCTTCTACCCCTTCTATTCTCTTAGTGGTTCCATTCCGTCCCAGACGCCAGGCATTCAGTCCCTCATACTGTCCACCAATTGCCAACACCCTCCAGCTTTGCCACCTATTGTCTGGAAACAAACAATAGTAGCTGGATATTTTGTTTAATAGTAGCTAAAATATCTTGAACTAATGATTCTCAAAGTACTTTACCGGCTGGTTTCATAACATCCCTGTAAATAAATCAATACTAATAATTACTGTTCAGAAAGAAATTATGTAACTTGCCTTAATCTAAAAATTACACCGGCCTAAATGCAGATGATTGACTATATTGCTTAAAGAAAATATTTTGAAGTTGTATCCCATGAAGTCCAATTGTAAGGCTAGCTCCTATCTTTCCCTCAAATGAACCAGTAATCAGTTATAATTTCATCTCAATGTATCCACTTACTAGTTACAATGGATTTGTGGTGCTATAGGATATTTTAATTGACCAAAAGTTTCAGTTTACTCCACTTTGCTACCTCCACAAGAACACCTTCAATTTTAATAATAAAAATAGATACTTCCCTGGTACTATTTACCATTTAACATTTAAGTGCAATGCATTGCAAGTTAGGTATTCTATCTCAGGCTTGTATAAAAAGAAACTCCAGAGATGGTAAATGACCTTGGTAAAGGTCACTGGTATTTTGATGCCCACTTTCAGCTCTGATGTGTAAGAAAAACAGCCTCAAACACAGCAGGAGTTTTCCGTGTATCATGTAATTACGTGGGGCAGATATTTTTTTTTCTTGCTGTTGATTTGCAGGCAGTCTTAGTGCAGAGCTGTAATTTAGTGTTCAGTGACTACTAGCAAATTGCTTGATTCTGGAAGGAGTGGTGTCCATGAGACTGTGAAGGTGCAGACGCCGTGAGTCTCCAGGAGATGATGCAGGCAGCAGGCGTCTGAAGCCGGGCCGTGCTATTCGGAGAGGGGAGGTTCTCGGCAGCTGCCCTCTGCTGGGGGCAGGGCCGTTGCCTTGTACGTTGCAAATATTTTATTTCTGATAAACAAGATGCCTAATTGTTTTACAAACAATTGAGATTTCAACATCATTTGAATATATTGTCTACTCGGATGTCTTGACTTTAGTGACTTTTAAATTTAAAAATTGTTTTTCTAGTTGTAAAAGAAATAGAGGCTTAGAGCAAAATTTTACTGAGAAGAGGATCGAGGCCTAAATTTGGCCACTTTGATACTATTTATATTTTTTGAGAAAGATTTTATTTATTTATTTTTAGAGAGAGGGAAAGGGAGGGAGAAAGGGGGAGAAAGATCAATCAGTTGCCTCTCATACACAGAGCCTTGACTGGAGACCAAACCCTCAACCCAGGCATGTGCCCTGACCAGGAATCAAACCGGTGACCTTTTGCTTTGTAGGATGACGCCCAACCAACTGAGCCATACTGGTTACTTTTGGAATTTGACCACTTTTAATACTTTGGCGTACACGCCAACATGCACATTATACAATTATGCACACACTTGCACACACATAATATGTATACTCTATCGTAGGCTCCTTTTTCAGCTAGCAGATTATTATGCACATATTCTAGTCAACAAGTAATGTATATTTTTAATAATATATTGCATGGATTTATATTTTTTTATATAACCAGTGTTTTATTGGATATTTAGGATATTTCCATTTTGGATCTCATACTTCGATGAACACCTAGTACATACATGATTGCTACAGTTTATTTCTACAGATATTTTGAAAACAAAAGAAATGGAATATTTCTGATAAAGTAGGGGTCTCTTGTTCTCCACCCCCCCAATTCCCTTTTTTATTACATTCCCAGGGTTAGTCCATAAAGAATAATTGGAAAGAGTTATGCTATGTGAACTCATGAATAGTGGTTCTCTGTTAGTTTGAGTTTACTCTCCTTCAGCAACTTGTCTTTTGTGCTTGAGAGAGCTTAGTAGGGGGTGTGTGGTTTAGTAAAATGTGAGAGTAAACCAAAAAGAGAAAGACCTAGAGTTCAGGAAGTGGAGGGTCCAATGATTGAAGAATTGGGAAGGGATGAGAAGACACTGGTACCCCAGTTCCAGGCAACACCCAGGGGTAGGGCGATGGAACAGTGTGGGACGTAGACCTTCAGGAAAAAAAGGACTAAATATTGTAATTCCAGGCACATCCTTATACAAAACACATCAAGGATAACAAAAAGATTCTAAGAGCTTCTGGGGTGGGCGAGGATGGGAAGCAGCTTATCAAGGAGCTGGAACCAGTGTGACATTGGACTTCCTAACAGCAACATGGGATGCGCCAAGAGAGCGGGACATCGCCTTCAAAATTCTGAAGAAAGTTCTTTTCAATGTAGAATTGCATTTTGAGCCAAACACTCCATGGAAACAAAACTGATGCAAGTAGAATGCCAAATGCAAATTGATAAATTAACCGGAGTGCTGGAGTGGAAAGCCGTCATTTACAACCGCTGTAAGAGCCGTGCAGGTGAGAGCCATCAGTGGGTGGGAGCTCATTATGGGAGGAAATTGGCGAGGATCGGAATATTTTAAGGTCTTGAAACATCTATCCCTGGAAGGCTGATTATTGGCAAGAGAAAAGACAGAACTTGACTGGCTGATCAAAACTACCACCACTAATGAGGCATAGATGGAGACTGTGTCCTCCGTAAGTCATGACCCAAGAAAGGCACGTCACTGCTGAATATTCTAGTGGGAGAGGAATACCCTGAATCTAACCGTGAGGAAGCACCAGACAAACCCCAAATCGAGTGCCTTCTATTGAAAAGAGACA